ACTGGCCCTTTTCCAGTCCTCCGGGACTTGGCCCGTGCGCCACGAGCATTCAAATATTCCCGCCAGTGGCTCTGCAGTGATGTCGGCCAGTGCCTTCAGTACCCTCGGATGGAGCTCATCCGGGCCTGCCGACTTAAAGGCATCCATTTCTTCCAAGTGACTCTGCACCATCTCAGGGTCTATGCATGGTAGTCTGGCGCCTTGCTACTGTCTCTCTACAACCCCAGTGACAGACTTGTCGTGCCCCTCGCTTAGGAACACTGAGGCAAAGAACTCGTTGAGGAGTTCAGCCGTGTCCCCCCTGTCCATCACCAATTGTTTCTGCCCAGTTAGCAGGGGTCCTATTCCTCCCTGGGCCTTCCTTTTACTCCCTATATATCTAAAAAACAATTTCTTGTCCTTTACTTGGAATGCCATCCTCAGCTCCATGGTAGCTTTGGCCCGTCTAACTGCCTCCCTACAAGCGCGAGCAGAGGAGGTATACTCCTCTTTGGTAATCTCTCCGTTTCCACTTCTTATGTGCTCCCCTTTTGGCCCTTAGGCTGCCCTGGATTTCTCTGGTCAGCCAAGGAAGCCTCCTGGCCCCTTTCCCTCTTTTTCCTCCACCATGGGGGCCTCGATCTGTCCGTCTCTCCCTCCCCCTCCCCCCCAGCTCCTTCTCTTCCCCATGCCCCTTCCCCCCTGACAGACTTACCAGCTGGATGCTGCTCTCCAAGTAAGCAGCTGCATTCTTGGCCACAAGGTATTTATTGGTGACATTATCAGCCACATCGGCCAAAAAAAGCTGATTGCTGATAATGTCAATTTTCCGTTTTATTGGTGCCAATACAGTATGGACTGACGTATCAGTGCACCTCTAATCTTTGCCTACTGCTCTTGTTAAGTATTTGTTTTGAATGATAAATTAATTTTTCATGCTACCCTGAAGAACAGACTGACTGAGCCAAAAATGCATGTGGACTGAAACAAGTACATGCAGGTCATTCGCATCTTACGTGGGGGTTACGTTCTAAAGTCAGTGCGTAAGGCAAAAATCGCGTTTAGTCAAATTGTGTATTACCGTGCCAGCGATTTGACTAGCGGTGACTTCCTCTGCCTCCAAATCCTCCCGCCACTGCCACAGAGCTGTGCTTAGAGCTATGTGGCCGGCAACAGCGGCGCAGCACGGGGTGGTGGTGGGGATGACTGTGTGCTGCCCGGCCACCACCACACTGCCGCTGCTGCCTGGCCACCACCACGCTGCCGCTGCTGCCCAGCGACCTTCCACACAGCTCCGGGCATGCCTCCATGGCGACAGCGGGAGGTTTTGGAGGCAGTGGCCGTCACCGCCATAATGGGCTTCCGGGTAAGCGGTAGCACTGCGTGCAGACTCAAGCCCCACCCCCCTCCCACCCCACATATAGTTGAATTTGCACAAGTTAAATGCACGTATGATGCGACTGACCTGTATTTTTAAATTGCCCCCCAAATGGCTAGAAAGTTACCTTTTAATTATGCTCTGTGAGGTTAATCGTAGTGGCAGCTTATGTATTGGTATCACTTTTTCCTAAAAGAGTTGGGTAGAGGCCTTTTCTAAGGGAATTGCATAGAGGATTAGGGCAAAGCATTTCTCTCAAGGCTACGTTCGGCAGCTTGGGATATGTGTCACTATGATTCTTTTCATTAACAGTGCCTTTTGGCTAAGGATCTCAGTTGTGTTTGTGTGTCCTGTTTTTTGTGTTGTGTGTGTGCACATATGCATGTATTATATGCTCCATCTGTGAATTAAATAGGAATCTTCTATTTGTTGTGGGTTTTTCAGTGACACAAAAGTAGCATTACTGCTTATCTTTTGAAATTACAGTGGCTAGATCTGCACCTGAATCAGGAAATCCCTACATCATTGCTTATTTTATCCAGAGCTATGTACCTTCCGGATACCCTTTCACCAGCTGATCAGCTCAAAACAACACTTCAGACACTACCAGAAAGTATGGTAAGTTATGCTTTGTGTAACCAATAACCGTCTTTCAGAAAAACAGCTGAACATAGATCTTCTTTATATAAGCGTTAATCATACTAGTGCTATGTTTTAGCTTGTTATTGGCTCCAAGGTTGTTCATTAAAAGTATTAACTTTCTGGTATACTTAATGTGGACAGTGTCTCAATTTAAAAGCATGTAGAAAGTTGGCCCAAGAATAAACAGTTGCAGATGCAACAGACTGCAAGCTCCTGCAAGCTGCCGATGCAAAGTATAAGCATCTCTGCCTGCAAATTAGTATCTCTGTCAGTCTAAGGTTGAGAATATAAAGCAGGCATAGTCCATTTTTATTTTGTCCATAAAGATTAGGTATGCACATAATTTTAGTATCTGTGGTATCCAGAGTCCTGGATTATAGGATAAATTGAAGTGAAATGTTACTGTTTTTTTTAGAGAGGGAGGTTAGCCAATTTATCATTTGTAAGGCTTTTAAAGAGCATCTTGCCTCTGAAATCTTCTATTGGAAACCAGTCGGGAAAGGTCAACATTGACTCAAAATACTTAATTCCATTTGGGGCCTTTGAAATCATCATTATTAGGCACATTTAGTTATGTTGAAAGCTAAATTGTGTCTTGCAAGTAGCCCTCTTATGGGTTCCCAAAAGACACAAGTTTGGCTTTGACCAGTTTTATCCCCAATCCCTGAATGTAAAGTTTTTTTCCACTTCAGTAGTCTTACTAGTATTTTCTTTGGCTTTGTACTCTGAAAAGAAGGGTTTGCTCTATAAACAGGACCCTACAAGGTATTTGAGCTTTGAGACTAATTCCTTAGAAAATATCTTTCAGCATTTTTTTCCATTGGGCACTTTTCATGTGAGCTCTTTTCCTGCCCTTTTCAGCCTTGAAAGTAAAACGTCAAAATCCTTTAATTTCCAGGGCACATTAGCTCTGACACCTTGCTAATTTTCAGTTGACCATCAATTTTATAAGACAGTCATGCAGTATCTGCCTAATTTTGCCAAGTATTAGCTGCATAGTTCTTGCACAGGTTCTTGTTAATGTTAGTTAACATTAATTGGCTAATTTTATAAATCAAGTTCAATCCTTTTTTAAAAAAAAGCAGCCAGCTCCTAAAGATTGGTACAGGATGAAATATTCATTTTAATTTAGATTCACAGTTGCTGTGTCAAAGATGGAATTCAGACAGCATTGCTAGCTTTTTACACAACATTGCCTTAACAGTATCAGCTCTGTCTATCTGCTGTTCCTACAACCAGCTTTTTGCTGCTGCTTTGCTGTCCCCTCTGTATAGAGTCGCTTATCTTCAGATCTCTTCAGATTCATATCTTCCATGATGGAAGAAATTAGCAAAACTCATAGGGGATAAAGTCAAGAGAAGACTGTGATAGGGTCTGTTGCTAATGACTTTAATGAGTTCTTGTTATATAATGTACATGTTCCGACTCCCACTTTCCTACATCTCCTGTTGTAAGATTATTAATATGAGGACAGCATTTTTCTATACCAATGTACATCTACAAATGTAGATCAGTGTCTGTATGTTGCTCCATATATTTACTGGGGTAGAAGTTTGCAACTTCTGCCAATTTCCTTTTTTTTTTTTTTTAGGGAATGGATTTCAAAAGTCTATTTTACAATTTTGTCCAGGAAAGAGTCTTAATTGGGGAGCAGGAGTGAAAGAGGGACTTTAACAGCATCTTAGTGGTCTTGGATAAAAAGAGAATGAGAAATGTTAATAGTATCAGATTGGAAAGAGTTATGTTCTTCAAAAGAAACAGAATCCTTTTTCTCTAGAGTGCAGAAGTGTATATTTTGTCTTTGTTTGACAGTGTGTTGACTGTACGTATATCACTTTTCCAATGTTTTTTTTTTTTAGGCCATAGAGGCTCAAGTCAAAGCAGCAGAAGTGGAGGGTGAAACAGTTGATAATAAGGCTAGGCTGGAAGCAACACTTCAGGAAGAGGAAGCTATTAGAAAAGAAAATCAAGAGAAGGAGATGGAAAAAATATCTGAAGCTGCTGAGAAAGCTAAGGAAATACTTCAGGCTGCAGCCATGGTAGGTGCTACTTTCAGCTGTTGAGAAGTAAGCACGTCAGTAGTGTAAACCTTTAGCTCATTATGGACATTTTTCGTTTCTTTTGAGTTTTATAATCTCTGTTCTAGTTTCTGTCTGCTAGAAACAATGCTGCTGTTTAAAATTAATGACAATGTTTTTGTGAATGGGATTTTGAAATTCAGAAAGAGGTGGAGCCCACTGTAGGTCTCGAAGCAGCTGCTGTACATGCAAAAAAAAGTGAGATGGCTTTAGATACTGAACAAGAGTTGGCCAAAGTGGATTTGGAAATGCAGACAGAGATCTTGAAGGACACTGCACCAGTGTTGGAAGGCATTAAGGTAATTTTATATATATTTTTAATTCAATATTTGAAAAACAAGTACGTCTGTACAGAATATAAAAATATAATCCAGGTAAGAGTGATGATGATTTACCTATTTGTCTTTTTTTTAACCACTTCCATTCTTTGTACCTTTCTCAGAATTTCATTGATTTGAAATCTTCACAAGCTTGCTTATTTGCTGTTTTACCCTTTAGCCCCAGACCCTTTGATTCCCCTCAAGTCATGTGTAGACCAAGAACTGCTTTTAACACTGTCCACAATCTTAAAATGTTTCCAGTTTGTAAAGGTTATATGTCTGGATTGAGGGTCATTTAAATGTGTTAGACCTCTGCACTTTCCTTTGATTGTATTTATTATTTTAGATAGCAACATTTTGGAGTGGTAAGTAGGTAAAGGTGGGCTTTCAGCCCTGAAGAATGTAATCTCCAGAATTAAAGTAAGTTCCTTTACGCTGGTGTAAATCAATTGTTGCTGAATTTCCCTAAACACCAATACCACTTTCCAAAGCAACATTATTGATCATGTTAAAATTGCCTATTCTTAAATATAAAACTATCTTTTAGTATCAGAGATGGCATCATTGCCTTTCCTAAATGTAAATAATAAGGAAAATTTAATATCAGGATAATGTTAGCCCCTTCCTTGGAGGTATTTAAGAGGAGATTGGACAAATATTTGACTTGGGTCATCTAACCTGAGCACTCCCCCCTGCCCAGGGCAGGGGGTCAGACTTGATGATCTAATAGGTCCTTTCCAACCCCAAAATCTACGAAATCCATGAAATGCCAAACAAGTTGTAAAGGTAGCATAAAAGGTACTGATTTAGCCTTATCTAGTGGAATGTGTACCATGCTACGTAACAGAAGATTGCAGATGGTCATACTGAGTAGCTAATATATTTTCGATTCTTGAGGCCCGATCCTATAAGAGGTGTAAACAAATTGGTTGGCCTCAGCAGAGTCTTCATTGTACCTCACATACTATGTGTTTTTTCACATTTATGAAGAATAAATGTTATGACTTTTTAAAGGGAAGCACAGAATAAACTGCAAAAGCATTAGGTTTACTGATGTTTGGGAGTAAGTCGTGAATAGGTAAGCAGAAACCCCTAGAGCAGGGGTGTCCAACCTTTTTAAATATGGGGCCGGATCACGAACTTTTTATCACCCAGTGGGCCAGTGAGCCATATTCAAAGACCTCACAGGAAGTGAGGACTCCAAGATGAACATGAGTCGTCAGTGTGACGAAGACATCAGAAAAGCTAATGGCACTTTATTGTGCATCAGCAGATGCATGACGAACAGATCCAAGGAGGTGATACTTCCCCTCTATCGGGCGCTGGTCAAACCGCAGTTGGAATACTGCGTGCAATTTTGGGCGCCACACTTCAAGAGAGATGTGGATAACCTGGAGAGGGTCCAGAGAAGGGCCACTCGTATGGTTAAGGGCTTGCAGGCCAAGCCCTATGAGGAGAGACTGGGGCACCTGGACCTCTTCAGTCTCCGCAAGAGAAGGTTGAGAGGCGACCTTGTGGCTGCCTATAAGTTCATCACGGGGGCACAGAAGGGAATTGGTGAGGTTTTATTCACGAAGGCGCCCCCGGGGGTTACAGGAAATAATGGCCACAAGCTAGCAGAGAGCAGATTTAGACTAGACATTAGGAAGAACTTCTTCACAGTTAGAGTGGGAATGGGCTCCCAAGGGAGGTGGTGCTCTCCTCTACCGTGGGGGTCTTCAAGAGGAGGTTAGATAGGCATGTAGCTGGGGTCATCTAGACCCAGCAGTCTTTCCTGCCTATGCAGGGGGTCGGACTCGATGATCTATTGAGGTCCCATCCGACCCTAACATCTATGAATCTAGGTCGGCACCAGCCAGCAGAGGCGGTGGCAGAACCGTGTGCCACTCGGGACTGACTGGCGTAGGTAGGGGGAAAGTGCAGCTGAGCCCCTGCTGCTCTGGCCAGGCTCATCCTGTCCCGAGAGGCGCATGGGTACTCCTCTTCCCACACACTGTGTTGGCAACGTCAAGCTGACATGGTGCGTGTGGGAACCTTGTCCCTTACCCAGACCTTCAGCAGCCATTAGGAAGCTGCTGAGGGTCTGGGGGAGGGACAGGGGGTGGGAACGAAAGTAAACCATGTTTACTTTATTGTTTCCCATTGCAGCACTGCAGGCCACAGAAAATGCCTTGGCGGGCTGCATGTTGCACAAGCCTGCCCTAGAGGGACCAAAATTCAACTCAGGAGTAGGAATGGTTTTGAAGGATAACTGATCCATGAACTCAGAAATAGCTGGTATGATTGGATGGAGGCAGACATTTTTTTTCTCTCTTCCTAGCTGCTTGTATTTTGGGGATTAAAACTTACTATAATAGAGTAATTAGTAATAAGCAATCTTAGATGCTTCCTGCTGTAATTTTGTGGCTTCTTGAAACCGTTTACTTTGATCCCAAAGATGGCATGATGTGAGTGTGTGCGCTAAATGACCTTTCTTTGTTTTGCCTTCAGTTTGTATTTAGATACAGTGTA